GATACAAAAAAAGCTAAAACTTAAAAGAAACTTAAATCTGATTGCGTTGTTGAATGGCTAAACCTATTATCAAAAATAGAAAGTCATTATTGTCGGGTTTCAAATTCTCCTACTTTTGTCAAATTACTGTTTTTAAAGAATGCTGTCACTAAACTAGTAAAGATACTGCAGAGAGAAAGACATTTTGTAAAATTCTAAAAAAAAGGAAGGGAGAGAATACCAGAATATGACAAGGAGCACATTATAAAGAAGGATAGAAGCTCGTTAAGCAAAGCAAGATGCCATTGTTATATCTATCCAAAGAAATATTGATAGTTACAATGGAAGTACAAAGCATCTTACTTAGTCCCAAACGCTTAATTTCAAAGCATTATTATTCCCAGAAACTTCAATTTCAAAACTTCACTCTTTATATCTTCAATAACAAAGTTCATCTGTATGTATGGAGTGAAGAAAACGGAACTATAACGTCAAATGAATTTACAAGCTGGACTTTGTACAAAAGCTTTCACAATTTAGGAAAATTATTCTAATTTCAGATGAAAGAAATTTCTCTAGAAATTGAGCATATATTGATGGAGGTTGATTTAACACAGGAACAAAACAGGTACGAAAAAAACAACCTTACATTAGCTTTCTAGAAACATTTTTCAACGGTTAGTGATCATGTTATAATGCGCATGCGCCATTTCCAACGGTTTGGGATTTATTATCATTTTTATGTTCTACGAACGCATTCCGTACAACTCTGATTCTTCTCTTTCTCTGCTGAAGGTTTAGGCACCGTTATAGTAAAAGGACACAAAAAAAAGAATTTTGAAGTTTGACGTTTTGTATTATTTATCATTGTTTATGCGTTATTTATTGCTTATTGTTTACTGATAAATACATGTTTGGCTATTTTATTAGGATAATATTGGATGGTAGGTTTATTTGCTTCACTTATTAAATTTTGTAAAGTTATGTGTATTACTGTTTCTTTCAGACTCGCAGGATATTTTTATATTTCAAGGGCAAAGTACCTAAATTTTAAATAATAAAGAAATAAATTTTATGTGGACAAGGAACACTATAGTCTGTTCGCTATACTTACGCGGGTTTCGGATTAATATTTGCAATATTTGTAACAAATTTAGTACCTACCCTAATGTTATTTTAATTTAAATCTGACCATTAGGGCAATTTTACCTAATTTCTTGGGAAGAGGCTTATTGGAACTGGTTGTCAATGACTTATTTGCATAATTTTGTTAATCCGAAACCCGCGTAAGTATAGCGAACAGACTGTACGTTAATGTTATTGGCGTTATACAAAACCCATGAAAAAGATGTAGGAACAATGAAATTAAACATTTTTTAAAAAATGTGGGAACTAATTTCGGCACAATTAAAAACGAACCACAGCATAAATTGTACTCCATCGCAATGCGAAAATAGCTGAAGAGTTCTAGAACGAAATTTTAAAAAGTTCATAGATAACCCAAGTAACATCTAAAGCTGGTTACATTGATTTATGCAGCAAGTAAGCTGATATATAGCTGTATTGTAGTGGCGAAGTCTGAATAAGCCAACTAGCTGATGAATAGGTTGCATAAAAGCATCTACTGCTTATATGTAAACCCTTGTAGCGCTAATTAATGTTAGCTGCATAATAAGCTGGAAAAGCACTACTTAAGTTAAATTGTATACTTTTAGTCAGCTATTTGGTATAGACTGAACAGAATGCTGAAGAAGACCTGTTGCAGTCCTTAAATACACCACTAATCAGCCATTAGAAATACGCTGCACAATAAGCTGGTAAAGCTGGTAAGTCAAATTGTATACCTTTATTTAGCTTGTTGGTATTGGCTGAACATAAAGCTGAATAAGCTTTGTTGCAGTCCTGAAGTACACCACTAATCAGCCATTATAAATACGCTGCACAACAAGCTGGAAAAGCACTACTTAATTCAAATTGTATACTTTTAGTCAGCTTGTTGGTATTGGCTGAACATAAAGCTGAAGAAGCTTTGTTGTAGTCCTAAAGTACACCACTAATCAGCCATTATAAATACACTGCACAATAAGCTGAAAAGCACTACTTAAGTCAAATTAAATACCTTTATTCAGCTTGTTGGTATTGGCTGAACATAATCCTGAAGAAGCTCTGTTGCAGTCCTAAAGTACACCACTAATCAGTCATTAGAAATACGCTACATAATAGGCTATAATAGCACTACTTAAGTCAAATTGTATACCTTTATGTAGGTCGTTGGTATAATCTGAACATAAGGCTGAAGAAGCTTTGTTGCAGTCCTAATGTACAGCACTAATCAGCCATTAGACATTCGCTGAATATTAGGCTGAAAAAGTGCTGTTACAGCTTATTTTTTTTATATTGTTCAGTAGTTTAAAATTAGTTGCCCATTGATTTGATTAAGCGTTAAATCAGTTCGCTTATATATCGCTTCTTCAGAAGTATGAAACAAGCTGAGGAAGGGATAATTCGGTTGTTATATAACCACTGTTCAGTAGTTTTTTTTAATTTAAATTGACTGAATAATGAAGTATATCTATTATCGATGAAATAATACTTTTTTCAGCCATACATGGTAAAAACTGAATAGTGGTACATATACACCAATATCTTTCTTTTTTTTAGATGAAATACTAAAATATTGGCTGTCAAAAACCCCATTTTGTGTACAATGTTGTTCTCTTTCTAACGATTATTTTGAACTGAGAAGTAAAAGTCTCACGTTCCTTATTGCGCAAGACCAAAAAGACATTTAGACATAAACCGTTGTAAGATCAATATTATAAACATAAATAAGATGGATCTTAAAGTAATAAAAAAGTTTAAAAAGATAAAAAAATTTAGTCACTATTACCGCAGATTAAAGAAAAATCGTGAAAATTCCGAAGAGTATTTAAAAACATTGTATTCCAAGGATAACGCAACACCTTCATCAAGTCATGAAGCACATTCAGGTATTATAATATATAATTTATTTATGTTTCGTTAAGTTGACATTTATTTTTCAAATAGATTTAAGTGGTTTATCAAATTCTCTTTACAATATCAGTGAATGCTGAGAACGATGATGAGTCTATTGACAATGATGCTAATAATGATGGTGATGCAGAAATTTTCGAACGAGAGAATAATACTACCTACCAAAATTTATGTTCCAACGTACCACTACGAAAATGGGCAATTAAACATAACATTGCCCATACAGCTTTGAATGATCTGTTACTGATAATTAACAAACAGTATGATTCTAATTTACCTCTCGATTCAAGAACCTTATTAAGGACCCCAAAGAACACAAAACAGTTTTATAAATTAATAAAAGGTGGAGAATATTGGCATCAAGGTCTTGAAATATGCCTTAAAAACAATTTTATAGATTTACGTGAAGATATTTTTATTCATATCAATGTAAATATCGATGGTTTGCCAATACATAAAAGTTCCAAGCGTCAATTTTGGCCAATTTTGTGCAACATTCATGAAATGCCAAATGTTCAACCAATGGCTATTGGCATTTTTTATGGAAATAACAAACCTGGAGATGTTAAAGAATTTTTGGGACCTTTTGTTGAGGATGTTAAACGGCTTTATGCAAATGGTCTCCATGTAAATGGGCATTTAATTAATATAAAAATCAGATGTTTCATATGCGATTCGCCAGCCCGCGCCTTTGTTAAAGGTTAACCTCAAAATACTTTAAAAAATATTAAGGGTATTCAATCCTTTTATTTACAGGTGTTGTTAATTTCAATGGAATCAATGGATGTCTTAAATGTACCACAGAAGGCGAATATTCTTACATTTCTCGAACTGTAGTGTTTCCTGATATAAATCGCCCCCTTCGGACGGATGAAACATTTCGAAGAAAAGGATATGGTACACACCATAAAGGACAGGAATCAACCATTCTAGAAATTCCTGGCATTGATATGATTCAAGATTTCGACGTAGCAGATGAATTCCATCTTTTGGAACTAGGTGTAATGAAACGATGCCTAATGGGTTGGAGGGATGGAACTTTGGGTTTCTCGAGCAAGCTGTGTGCCCGAGATATCGAAAAGATCTCACGTGCGTTATTATCTGTGAAACTTCCATCTGAAATACATCGTTCTATGAGGGCAATGGATTGCTTAGCGTTCTGGAAAGGAGTGGAGTTGCGGAATTTTCTTAATTATGTTGGAATTGTCGTTTTAAAAGATGTTTTAGCAACTGATGTTTACAACCACTTTTTGCTTCTTTTTGTAGCTGTCAAAATATGTTCTTCTGATATATATGCTGAAAATCTTAATGTTGCTCAACTGCTTTTTGAGAGGTACATTGAAGATTTTAAGACTATTTATGGTTTGGAGTATATTACCAGCAATATTCATAATTTCGAACATATTGTCAATGACGTGACTAAATTTGGATCATTGTACACAATATCATCGTATCCATTTGAAAATATGTTATTTCAACTCAAAAAATTATTACGCCAAGGGCACAACAATTTGCAACAAATTGCTAATAGAATTGCTGAAAGAAATTTACTTCTAAGCAGTGATAAAAATAAGAAAGTTTCTCGACCTAAAATTAAAAAAGGACGTGACAATTTTGTTGAATGTTCTATTTCCAGCGATTTTTGTTTGAGTAATGTTTTCAATAATTCTTGGTTTTTGACACTTGACAATCAAATTGTTCAAATGACTGCTGCATCAGAAGTTAATGAGAAGATAATATTACACGGGAAATCTGTTAAAAAGAAAGATGATTTTTTTAAAAATCCTATACGTTCATCAAATTTACAAATTTATGTTGGAAGTATTTCAAATTTAAATAACGTAAAAACATACACAATCGAAAACATTTTTTGTAAAATGGTGGCTATAAATTACAAAGAAAATAAAACTGTATTTATTCCACTTATACATACAATAAAAAAACAAACTGTAACTAATTTGTAAATGAAATAAGTTGTGAAATAAAAGTAAATAAAAAATAAAAGTTTAATCTGTTTCTGAGTTTTCTTCAGAGATGTCTTCCTGTTCTTGTTGATGCTGAGTATTATCATCAAAATCTATAAAAAAAAAGTTAAAAATCATGATATAGGTAAGTTGATGGTAATCCCAAAATTACCTTCCTTTTGAGTACCAAACTCATTCGGGGGTGGTTGTTTTTTTATTAATTTTTTGCGCCGATGAACAGATGACTGGCGAATTCCACCAGTCATGCTGCGCTTTTTTGCATTGTTAGTAATTCCTACGAAGAATTTTTTTAATAGAATTTCTGCAAAATTTTTGTTTGAACTTCGGATTATTGTAAAAAAAACATTTAATATGTTTTTGCAATTTCGAATGGAACATTTCAGAGTATCGCTTCTGCTACCTCCTGTCCAAGAACATTGAACCATGAATTGTTTATCAAAAAATTTGTCAATGATTATATAACATGTATCCAGACCTCCACTAGTATCCGGAATATCCCCAATAATTTTCTTAAAATGATCAATCTAAGAATAAAAATTTAATGTAAATGTATTCGATTAAAATAAAAAAGGGGTATCTCACCACTTGTTTTTCAAAATTTTTATCTAGAAGATTTTGTTCTAACTGCATTAGTTCATCTGGGGTTGAAACAGGTGCAAATTGAAAAATATCATCGTAGAGTTGATCTCTATAAACTTGTTGTACCTGTATGGCCGCCAATTTAGCATCAAAGTCGCTTTTGATTGCAGCAACTGTCCTTGCCATCACGTCAGTGAAACAACTAATTATTTCATTCTTGGCCTTTTTCAGCTCCATCCGCATTTCTTTAATTTGTCCAAATACAAGTTCTTTAAAATTTTCGGCATCAAATGCAGGCTCCGTAGGGCGCTCAATATGTTGCTCATCAGACTGCTTATCAGGTTGCTCATCAAGCTGCTAATTAGGCTGCTCATCGTATACGTGAAAAAAAGAGTAAATGATATAATTAAAATGTTATTAAATAGGTACTTGTGGAAATAAATTAAATGTAGCTAGAATGAAAGCTTACCTGGCCAATATTTATAAACTCCGCGTCTAAAATATCTTGTGATGTTATTAGATTTAATGATACAGCGGTAGTATTAGGAATAAAATTTTGTTCATTTAGAGGAGCAAGGGTAACAGATATACATTCCTCTTGAATAAAAGGTTGAGAGAGGGAAATCAATCTTTTATTTTTAAATGATTTTTCAAAATTTGTCTGGTTGTTAGCTTGTCTAAGTCTTTTGGTGGGCTCTATTCCGTATTCTGAACTAGATGAAGTTGCTGAACCTCCAGACATTTCCAGTAACTCGTTATTGGCTTCTTGACGACTTCGAAAATATGGTCTTTTAATGCGACACATAATCTTGGACCAGTTACTGTTCGGTGTTGAATTAATATTGTTTATGTGTTCTTTTACATTTTTTGGTGGCCAAAACAAATATTTATTTTGAATCCATTTAAATGGCACAACCGAAAGAACCGGCCTGCCAGCTTCAATAGTCTCAACAATTTTGAAATGGGGTCCTGTAATGAATTATTATATTTATTATATAATTATATATCTCAATTATAGCATTGCCACCTAGATAAATATATACATTATTGTCACTTGTTATTATATCTAGACTATAATAGAAATTTTTTCTACACTCACATGTTAAAAAACATGTATATTTTAGGTAGGTATCTATTATACGGCACAATTTAAATTATCCTATTGAAAAGATGAAAATTTCATAATCCACCAATCACAGGTCACCTTTAGTACAAAGAATGGAATTTATGATTTTTGCCAATTTAATAAATAAAATATCGGGTAGGTAACGGAAAAAGTCTCTGGTCAAAAAAAATTGAAACCTCATGCATATACTAAATTAAATAAAGCCATAAAACAGAAAAAAAACAAAAAAACAATAAAAAAAAAAACAAAAAAATCTCTTCCCCTTAATAGAATTGAACCCACGACCTCTGGATTCGAAATCACCACCACAGCGCATTGCTCCAAAGAGTAAATATGCAATTAATTCCTGACGTACATATTTGAATTATTTTTATTTTTACCTCAATACTTAACCAAAAAATATACCTATTGATAATATGACAGAATTTTTAATATAAGTTTTTAATTTGAAGTTCTGGAATATGTTCTTGATAATTTGTAGGATAATTTTTAAAATTTGTTCCCGAATTTTCTAAAATTCAACTTTGGTTTTTATACTACTTAGCTTACCGGCATATGTATATTGTATTTACATGTGGATATTATAATATTCATACTTATATCCGCAAGGGTAGAAGGTCAGACGATTAAGTAATTAAGTATAAATATTAGGTAAGTACTTACCAGGCTTATTTTCACTCATTATTATAATAAAAACCAACTAAAACACACACTGTAAATCAAACAACATGTAATTTTATGGAGACACTAGTACTGTAGCGGCCAGTAGCTATTGTTCAGCTATTAAGCAGTATATGTTCAGATTTATTTTATATACCATAAAATGTAAACAATTTGACAGGTCATTAGATAGAGTAGGTGGTAAAGGCGCGTGTTGTAAAAGAAGAACAGTGTGGCGGAACGTGGTGTCATCAGTTCGAATCCTGCAAGGAGATAAAAACAAAAAAATGGAAATATAAAGAGGGCGTTTGTAGTAGGATGCGGATATTGCTAAAAAAAAGGAAGAACAAGAATAAGAAAAAAGAAAATTAGAGGTTGGAAAAAAAAGGATACAAAAAAATATTTATTTTTAAATGAAACAAAAAATGCTGATTAAGAGCTGATGAAAATGGTTGTACAAATTCGGAAGAAGTACTTTTTCATTACACGAGAAAGAGCACGAAAAAATAAGTACGCTGCATATGGGTCTGTATAAAAGTTGTAAAAGTGCTTCTTTTGCCTACTTTAACCAGCTATAGGCTGATTATCTTCTATACTTAAGCTATTTAAAATCTGAAGAAGCACTTCTTTGGCATTCTTTAAACAGCTTTAGGCTGTGTATCTTCTCTACGCAAGCTATTGAAAAGCTGAATAAGCACTTCTCTGGCACTCTTTAAACAGCTATAGGCTGCTCATCTTCTCTTCACAAGCTATTTAAAAGCTGAATAAGCACTTATTACGCGCGCTTTAAACCTCCGAGCAATTACTACTAGAGGGAGTCTTCCCCCCTTCCCCGCGCTAAATTTTGTTAGCAACATCTACTCCCCCCGAGGGGGAAAATACCTCTTCTGTAATTGGCTAATTTAATCAGCGTTGCCAAGTTTGACAGCGCCATAAGTGTTCTGTGAGCGCCAGTTCTGACACTTTCTGACACATGTCAATTTCTTATTTGTATTTTACGGAAAATATTATTATCTATAACGTTGTAAGGGTTGTAAATGTATATTTAAGACTTATTATCTCTAATAATATGGTGAAAACATGCTTTATGTGTAAAAGGCCTGTTGAAAATGCTTCTTCAAGATAATATCATAAGTAAGTACAGACACAACCTAATTATCAGAGGCGGTGCATTAGGCAATCACCTTTAATTTGCAAAATTAAACTTTCTTATTTTCTTATTAAAATGAAGAGCAAGTAAACTCCAGCTAAGTTCGTCTTCATTCGTCTCATAATGATTATAGTAAAGGTTAATTACTTATTATTATTTTAATATCACATCTTTGTAAAGTTTATTGTAATTTTTTTTAGGTTTCCTTTTCTTGATATGAAAAAGAAATACATGCTTCCAAAATATAGGAATTCAACAAGTGACCACCTGAATAACTTTTTATGCTAATGAACATTTTTATTACAGATCTCAGGGAAGGAAAATATTAAAGAAAAATGCAATTTCGACGAAGGAAGTATAATAATCAATCCTGTCACTACTTCTACATTATATTCATCTGCTACTAAAATACTAAACAGCAAGTAAGTAGAGAAACTTAATTTCCTTTCAAAAAGAATGTTTAAGGAACAAGGCATAGCCATTTTTTGTTGACACTTTTTTTTAACTAATCTAAAAGACTAATTTTGTGTATTGTTTAAATGTTCATTTTTTGTACTTAATTTGTTTTAGGTTTAAACAAAATGAACTTCTAAGATATGCATGGAATATCCCAAAAGAGCTAAGGAAGGTTTTAAAATTCTTAAGAAAACTATTCAGAGCCAAAAACATAAAATAGTCCAAAATATAAATAGGTATAAATATTTAGATATTATGAGTGATTTTTTATTCTATAAATAGAACATAATTTTCTTCTAAATCACTACCTAATGAACTATATTATATAGTACACAACTAAACAAGAATATCACATTATTCATGTTTTTTTTTTAATTTCCTTAAAGAACGTCCCAAAAAAATGTGAATATTTATTATTGGAGTTAACATCGTTATGCTAAAACAATACCAGAACAACTTAAATAATGTGGATTTTGACTATTTTGAGTTATGCAGATCATTATGATCTAAAAAAATGTTTGTCTGGTGCTATAGTCAGGTATAAAAACATTCATTTGTTTAAACACAGTTGCAATATACATTTTATTTAGTTTTTAAGTTAAAACCTATTAGGACACCCTAAAATTACTTTTTTCGTTTGATGTGAGATTAATTATTCTACATTTTTGTTGGTGAAATAGGATATATTAAGAGATGTCTTACTGTTTTCTCTGATTATCTAAAACGTCAGAACAATATGCAAAGGCTGTTATAACAAAAAAGAGATATACCTTTACTTAAACTCACAATTAGTCAGTTCAATTGTACGATAATTTAAAGCAGAAATCCAGAAAACTTTAAAAATGTGGTTAAATGTGTTTTTACTATAACAAGGACATAATTATTAAAAAAACTTGGCACATTAACATTGATGATAGTTTTTTATAATATATATTATACAAATCACAACGAACTACACAAAATGACATTATTAATAATTTAGCAATAAAAAGTTAAGTACAATGATGACATTTAAAAGTTGAGTTTTTTTAAATACTTTTTTAAATTGTCTCAGTAACTACCTAGTATTTTTCTAGCACAATGATATTATATGAATGTGCATTGTGTGATATCTTATATTTTAGGAATAAAATTATATATTTTTTGCAGGTTTCTGTTAACAACGATTCCAAGAACTTTTAAAAATATTATTAAAACGGCCTTTGCAAATATAATTCTCAATTAAGAGCTTTTGATCTAACATAAAATTTTTATTCTCCATAAGGTTATAGCTTCCTAAGAAGAAAGTTTAACAAGACTTACCAGACTCAAAATATCAAAATTTTACCAACCAATTGATGGTTCTACTGGTTTCCACAGGAAAATTCTCCTCGAAACTACTAAAATAAAAGTGGCAGAGGCAACCGAAGAAGGCAAAAAAGTCTTTTGCAAAACAAAAACTAGAAATTTGTTTAAGAATCTATTGTTTGAAGTTTTACCATTAATAATTTTTGATAACGATTTAAGATTATGAAGTTCTATTATGAATTTTACTCTTTGATAACCTATGTTTAAATTTTTATTAGTAGCAAAATAAATTATAATTTTCATTTCAACTACAAAAACCCTCATAATATTAAAAAGGGGAAAAACGTTAGATTAGTTATGTTCATGTTTATCTACTTAAAATGTATTACTTTTAGAAGGTGTTATTAACTTTCTATTTGTACTTGTACTAATTTATTTCATTTTTATATCTGTTGTATTTTCAAATTGATTTTGATATTAATTTATATATTTTTTATACTCACATATATGTTTTTTTCATTGAAACAAACGTTTATTAGCTTATTAAATATAATGAATTCATGTTGTTTTATTATATGCTTGTATGAATGATTACTTTTATTTCCTTTTAAAAATGAATTTCGAAGATAAAGCCGAAACGGTGAGTGAGAATAAAAAATTAGACGAAAGTGATTATATTTACTGGATCTTTCATCTACACGCTCCTTTTTCTAGCCATCTACACCTGAGCCAGCAAGATTCGTCTTCCCTCCATCCTTACATTCTCCAGATTTACAGAGAAAACGCTGTTCTCTTTAACATATCCAGACCTTCTTTGACGGGGACTATACCACTACATTATCAGCTTTATTTGTTATCCCTAGCAATTTAAATGCATTCGTAATTGCTCATTCTCACCTCTTCTCTTGTAGATTCCGTAATCAGTTCTCTTATTTTTAGTTACGTTTGCACTGCTCTTTTATTTTCACAGCTTCAATTCTAAAATGCTGTAACGCTACAATATGGATCCATTTCTGTGGTTTATACTATTTAATGTTATTCGTAAGCGACCAACCTATTATAATAATTAAAGATTATTGTATTACAGGCCTGAAGATGTTCCTGTAAGGCCGAAACTAGTCGCTCCTGTATTAATAATAAAATTGATTTTAAGGTTTTATTCTTCAAATGAAAAAATTAGACCTTTACAATGATTTTGTTTCTTTTCCTGCATTAGACACATATAAGACGGTATTCATTTTAAAAATAGTAAAATTAGCAAATTTTTTTAGTTTTTTTTTACAATTAAAACGTTTGGACAATGTGTGTTTTTATAGATAAATGATACGCCACTGAACAAGAAGGATGTTTACCTTCCCCCTTGTGCCCGCTTCCTCACTTCCTCTACAGATGTTGCTAACACAACAATCGCCTACAAACTCGTTTTCACGCTCCCTCTATTAGTAATTGCTCGGAGCTTTAAACAGCTAGAGGCTGATTATCTTCTTCTTTTTAGCTGTTTAGACTAATGAAAAGTGGCTTATACAGGCAATTAAACTTCTATTGTCCAACCTGTTGGCTGAATATGTAGCTGATTAAGCGCTACCATAATAGTTAACCTACGTAATTTGTTTGTTGGGAACTCTAACAAAACTGGCCGAATATGTAAAGGAGATGGAGGAAATTATTGGCCATAAAAAAAATGTTACTCCTAAATGTTTGGTGGATACTAATACTGTGTTTCAAGAAAATATCTTAGAAGAAAAAGAAAATAAAGAACCTGAAAAAGTAACAAAAATAAAAAGTTCATTTTTGAATAGAAAAAAAATTATGAGTAGGAGACAAGAAATAATTAACAAAAATAAACAAGAAAAAAATGAGTATAATCAGAATAAGTTAGCTTTCGAGAAAGAAAAATTACAAAAACTTCATAAAGTTGAAAATGATTAACTGATAGAAGAACGAATGATCTTCTCGAAGAAAACAACTTGATTTTGAGAGAAAATAATGAAATTTAAAAAAAATGCACAAAATAATGTAAATATCTATGCAAACTTTTTAGATAAGTAATAATGGATGGATACGCTTATTTTGTTTTAGGTTTTGTTGTTTCGTTACGTTCCTACCTAGGTATTAATATATTTTTGTTT